CCAGGGCAGGACAGGCTGGTGCCAGCAGCCTGTGCAGCTCCTAGGAGGCTCAGCTCTCCTCTACCCGGAGGGCCCTTGTCCCACCAGCTCCTGGAAGGTGCTCAAGTACCCCTTTAGTTCAGGGCAGGACCTCGGGCACGGGGTGCTCAGCGGGGCATCCCAGGCAGAGAACCTGGGCAGCTTTCAGGCTCATGCTAGGGCCAACGTGAGGCAATGGGCATCGCAGTCACTTTTTTATTTTGCTGCCACAGTTACAACTCTTTCACTTAACATGTAGTGAGAGCCACCTCCAGTCCGAGTAGAAGAGCATTCCACTGGCAGGGTCAAGTGCTGGGCTTTGGAGATTTGAGCACTTAGAGTAAAGTTTTAAAAGTCACAGGACGTGCTGAAAGGGTGAACTCAAAAAATACGGGATGTGAAATTGTGCATGTGATACTGCTCAGGAGTCAGAGGAAGGCAGAGCAACGTTCCCCAGGCAGCCGCCCCACTGGTGGCACGGGGGCTCTAGATCTCACCTCCGCGGCGTCCCTGTTCCCAGGGCTTCTACAGGAGAGAACCTTCACCCGTGGGAGGGAAACTGAGCTGGGGCAGGACTTGGAAACAGGAAGCAGTGATGGGACCTGCCTGGGGAGCACCTTCAGGGAGGCTCAGGCCCAGGGCCAAGAGGCAGAAAGGAGACCCAGGCGCCCCTCCTCTGGACGGCCAGCACCTCTCACCCCCGCGCCAGCCGGCCCTGTCAAGTGCACCGTGTGCCTGCTGAGCAGGCCGCGGCTCCCCAGGCACTGGAGCTCTGTAAAAGTAAGTTCTAACCGACCTGCAAGTCGGCGTGGGACTCTCCTGCTGGGGTCACCGCCTGGTGAGGCCCTGTCCTTGCCTCCCATTGAAATCCAGTGCCCAGGTCTGCAAACCTATGGAGCTCTGAGTTCAGTTTCATCGTCCGTATTTTCCTCATCCCCCAAACTAATGGCTGCTCTAGAGGCCCCAAGGCCACACTGCTCTRCAGAGGCTAAGCTCTAGAGGCAGGGGGTCTGCGGTTGGCACAGGTCCCACTGTGTGACTTCAAGTGCCATGGGCAACCTCCAGAGAAGGTCACATGGGAGTTGACACTCAGAAGTGCCCGTCATATTGACTGCCCCGGATGATGCACCCAGGACAGTGGGATGTGCTGTGGGGCCTGATGCCCCACTGGCTGCCCAGCATGTGCAGCCCACAGCAGCAGCTCCTGGACTCCACTTGGCGGGATCTTCACACCCCTCACCATCCGAGTTTCACTATGCCTGTCTACTCACACATCCAAGTTGTTGTTCCAAAGTTAGGAGCTATTTTAATAAAAATACAGGAGGAAGTAAGAGCTTAGACCAGGATGCCAACAGATTAGACCAGTGGCCAACGCATCTTCCATGCTTTCTGGTGAGCTTCAACAGCTTTGTGGATACATAAAATTATTAGTAGAGCATGTCAAAAGTCTTGTATTAACTTTAAGGGAAAATTCATGTTCTAAGAGTGTTTTCTAGGTGTTGCTCATTATTGTTAAATATTGGTGGACATCATTTGCATAACTCACCTTTGAAATCAAATACACATGCCACATCTGGGATAGTCTTACACGCTTACCTGACTCCAAGACCGACATGCGGCACACAAGGAAGCAAGGAACACCTGAGCTTCAGGACATTTCACCTGACAGGACCTGTTACCATAAGGCCAGGGCCCCGGTCAGACTCCTGGCCCTCACCTCTGTCCATGGCTATGGCGCTGCTTTACAGAATGAGGCCCACACAGAAGGGCCTCTCAGGACATGGTCACTTGTGCAGAAGTTGCTGCTGAGCAGGGAACTGAGAGGACAAATGGCTCACTGAGGGACTCTACACAGCTTGGAAGGAGCCCGCAGCCAGCAAGGCCTTCTCTAAGCCTCGGCTTTTGGACAGAGGATCTCAAGTGCATCTGTCAGTCACTCCAGAGCCAGTGGGACCATCCGCAGAGACAAGCAGTTCTGCAAGGACTCTCCCACTACAGCACAGCACTGCTCGATGCCTTCCAGGAAGAACTGGTGGCCTGGGGGGCCAGAAGACCTTCCCAGCAGCCACCAAGGAAGGGGTCTTCCCTGCAGTGGCAGAACTGAACCCTGGAAAGAACTAAGGGCCGTGAGGCCTTTCCTTCCAAGCGCCACTGGGGGTACTTTATTTTAATTTTGTGCTAAGGACACTAGCCATGAGCCAGGGGCAGTGGCATAAGGCTGTCATCTCAGCTACTCAGRAGGCTGAGGCAGGAAGATGGCAAGTTTGAGGTCAGCCTGGGCAACTTAGTGAGACCCTGTCTCAAAATAAAAAATAAAAAGGCTGAGGGTGCAGCTCAGTGGTAGAGCASCCCTGCTTTCAATCCCCAGTAYCATGGAAAACAAAGCAAAACAAAAACCCCAAACCCTAACCATGGATCCTCCTCACACATTTTTTTTAATATTTATTTTTTAGTTGCAGTTGATCACAATACCTTTATTTTGTTTATTTCTATGTGGTGCTGAGGATCAAACCCAAGGCCTCACACGTGCTAGGCGAGCTCTCTGCCACTGAGCTACAGCCCCAGCCCCCCTCACACACTCTGAAGTGTACAACATGTTAATGTTACCTACAGACAGGACAGCGGGCCTCCCGATGTCCTCGTCCTGCAGAACTGCAATGTTACCACTGACCCACCATCCCAGGCTACCCTCTGCCTCGCCCCACTCAGCCTTTTGTGCTCTGTGGCCTGTTCTGGGAGCTTGCAGCACCCCATGCTCTATGGGCTGCAGGGGAGTAGGGTCCGGAGGAGGCAGAAACGGGAGGCCCAGAGGTCAGGCATGGACCCAGTGGTCTGACTGTGACAAGTGGCTCAGCCTCTCTGTCCTTATTAGTACAGAGAAGGAAATTCTCTCCAGGGTTTTCTGAGAGTGAGACATGATGAACTGTGTAGAGCACGCAGCACAGTCACTCTGGGTGCTGCTCAGTTAAGATGGGCTGCCTAATCTTCTCACGGGGGCCAAGGTRCTCCTAAGTTTTAAACAGCAGTTTTGGGAAATGGCCTGGTGTTGATCTTCTCTTACAAACAGAAGGTGTCATGGAAACATGTTACCTGAGATCAAGCTTGAAGTATAGGACACGTGGTAAGGAAATAAAGAAAAAAATGATCATTGTAGCCAAATGCGCCCTGTCTGGGTAGTGCTGTTATTGTAAAGCTACCTGTGTCCTGCAATCAATCAATAAAGGCAGCACCAACCCAATCTTTACTGTGGCTTTYGTTTTCGAAATTTGACAAAACAGGCCTAAAGTTGACCTGGAAGAACCGACACATGAGAAGAGCGGAACATTATGTCAAAGAAACTAATGAGGGAGATGGAAATAGCCTCACCAGCCATGCACGCTCACTAGACCTGGAATTCACCTTCCACTTTGTGCATGCGTGCTGTGCTTTGATAAAAAGGCCACACACATATATGTGCAATTGTGTGTGTGCACATTACAGCCACTGAATGAGAAGTTCAAAGAACAGAAAAGTGTAGAAACTGTCCCACATATGGAAACACAGATCTCATAGTCAGTGGAGTAGGTAGGCTAACTGGTAAATATCTGGGGATGAAGTTAGATCCATTGACCTTTCCCCCAGGAGACTGTTGTGTTATTCGGAATCATGCAAAATGTAAACATTTAATTCACATTCATACAATGTATATGACCTTGGGGAAAGGAAGGCCTTTCTTAAAATGATTATAAGGCTAGAAACCAGCAAAAAGCCTACATAGAAGAGTAAAAAATTATCTGTGGCAAAGGACAGGAATATCAATGCACACAGAAAGTGAAAAATGACAAACTGGGAGATTTTTTTCCTCATATTGCAACATATGAGGAAAAAAATCAGTCTTGATAGCCTTAATATATAAAAAACTTTTCAAAGTAAATAGCGAAAACACATCCCCAGTGGAAAACTGAGCAAAGATGAGAAGTTCACAGAAGACACACATGGCCCATCTGAATATCACAAATGTCATGCATGGCATGCAAATTAAAACAGCAAGTCAGCAGCAAAGGTCATCCTGGAAAGAGTCAAAAAAGAAGTGCCCCCCCCCCGCAATGAATCTTTTCAAGCTTCTGGATCAGGTACCAATGTGCAGGAAATACAGAGGTCAGAGCAGCACACAGAACATGAGAGAGATACCATTAACAAAATCTTAAACTAAAGTTACCAGCTAGTTTTGAAAAATCAACTGTTAGGGGAAAAGATGCAGGGAAACCCCCCACCAGGAGACTTGGGAGCATATCCACTGGCCACAATGTGTGCACCGTGCCTGGGTCCAGATGCAAAAGCTGTAAAAAGCCACGCAAAACAATTTTTTGACAAAGCGTGTGAAATCTGCCTAAGGACTAGACATTTCACGACAAAAGGAATTATTGCAAATGTATGTGAAGAATGACGATCATACTGTGGTTATGCTTCCTAAATGTCTTGTGGGACACACATTAAAGTGATCATGGATGARATAGTATCACATCTGGTATTTGCTCTCAGTGTAGAGGGGAGATGAAGGTGCAGAGTGGCTGAGCAGGACTAGTCATGAGCTGACTGGCCGCTGCTGGAGGTGGATGAGTTCAAACTACTTAGAAATATTAGAAAGATTCCCAGTTAAAAAAAAAATAACAAAAAATAACAACAACAAAAAACTCTGCCCAGTGCTARAGAAGGGACAGGGGAAGAGACATGGGTTCTTGGTATCCCCTTTCCAGAGGGCAGAAACCGGAATATACCTTCTAGCAATTCTACTTCTGAAAGGCTTTTATGAATATGATTATAAAACTTACACAATGTGGGTAAGAAGGTTTATAAAGCAGTTTTTGTACTAATAGGTCAACAGATACATCATACAACCTAAAGAGGACTGGGTAAATAAACCATTTCCATTCAACGGAATACTATGTAACCATTTTAAATAATATTTATTGACATAAACTATGCTCATGACCCTAACAGTAAAGTCTATTTGTGGGAATATATGTTAGATGAAAAATGTGTGAGGATGCACCTTAAGATGTTAACTGTTATGGTTCAGATGGGAGGTGTCCCACAAAAGCTCATGTGAGACAGTTCAGGAATTTTCAGAGATGAAATGATGATGAGCTGTGACCCAGTCAGCAGACAGAGCCACTGATGTGGATTAACTGGGGGTGACTGCGGCAGGCGGGGTGGGGGAGAAGGAGGTCACTGGGGCGTGCCTTTGGAGTTCACACTCTGTCCCTGAGAGCTATCTCCACCTCCCAGCTGTCAGGCCTTCCGCTGTGATATTCTGCCCCACTTTGGGCCCAGAACCACGGACGGGGTTAGTGGATCTGGTCTGCACCTCAAGACATGAGCCCTCTCCTCCCCTACATTGCTCTTCTCTGACTTTTGGTCACTGTGACATGAAAGCTGACTAAAACAGCAATGTTAGTTATTTTTCTTAATGAGGTTACAGGAGACTTATTTTTCCTTTTCACTTATCTATAACTTAAACTTTTTCTTTAATAAGTATGGATTTCGGGTACAATGTTTAATGTTTATAAACAAATATGGAAATAAACTTTTAAAAGGAGGCGAGATATTTCAAATGATGTTAATAGGTCTGTCTTTATTAACTTGGCAGGCATTCAAATTTTCTGAAATGATTTTTGTTTTATAATTTGTTGGTTTAGAAGCAGCTATAAACATATTTTGTGGAATTATTAAAAGTATACTTTGGTATTTTCAGCCCYTCCACAAACAAAACAATAGTGACAGATTAGAAAGAACAAATTGAAAATTGATCTAATGGAATACAAACAAAAATGCCTATCTGTTTCCTCAGGGTGTGAGAAAAGGTCTTTTTCTTTTCTTGTCTTTTAACAAGAAAACAGAGAGGAAGTGCTTTAAAGGGATAATCAGATTTCATGCTTGTCATGGGCAGCGTCAAAGCCTAATTTAGCAAAACCCATGCAAGTTCTGCCTGTGAGCCAACCTGCTTTGGTACCTGGGGTGTTGCCAAGTCAGTGTGGCCAGGAGAAGGGTCCAGGGTGAGGACCTGCCCTGCCCGCAGGGTGCAGCCTCGTCACCCAGCACCCAGCCTATGGCAACTGGGCAGCCATGCGCTGCCAGGGAGAGACGGCCAGGTGACAGCCTACTCAAAGGTGGGACTTTCCTACTCAAAGGTGAAACCTTCTGCCACCTTTTAAGATGACTTTTGCATATGGTGGTGTGGGAAGGGTTCGGGACATAGCAGCACTTAAGAACCAAAACAGAAGTCCATATTGGGAGGGCCTGTGCCAGGAGGCCCGTGGTGGCCGTCAGGGAACAGTATGCTGCTTTCCTTTCTGTATTTTCTCTGTTTGTCCACAAGGGCAGGGGTTATTTGTATGAGGGTGAGAAGGCACTTGAACAGGCATCCACCCAGGCCTCACACCTTTTTGGCTGTGGGGCCTTAAAGAGAGAAGCCGATTAGGGAGCAGATGCTGAGCCTGTGGCTAGGGTGACTCTGGAACTGGTAAGGTGGGTCAGAGGCCAGGGGCCTCTGTGACAACCAAGCAGGTAGAGGTGGGCTGGGGGTCGTGCTGCCAGACTGTCAAGCTGCCAGCTTGAGGACAGCATGGCCAACGGGGATCCTGCTGCGAGACAGGCCAGAGTCGGAGGGTTCCGAGGGGGCTCCAGTGAAGGGAAGAGGGGTGGCAAGACTGGGGTTTCAGAGCATTCTATCTGTGACCTGACCTGCACTGAAAATGCAGACAAAATACAGACGTCACAGCCTTCACTGGCTGTCACAGCTCCTCTGTGCAGGGCTCTCTATCACCTGAGACATGCAGGCGCTCTAGTAAACTGGCAGGCCCCCACTTCTGGCTGGCCTCCTTGCCCGCTCTGGTCATTCCATGCTGCTGCACCTTGCAGGACCTTGGGCCCTGTCAGAGGGAAGGCTGCTTTGCATCTGGAGGGCTGTGCAGCAGGGAGCAGCCAGCCCTTTGACTGTGCTCTCATCTTCAACGCCCAGGACAAATCCTGCGGCTTCCACCCGCACCACACAGATTGGAGAAATCACACAAGCCCTATGTGTGACCCTGGTCTGCAGATTCTGGCATGGGGGTATCTTCCATGGGGCAGGATGATGCCCAGGGGCTGTTTCATCCATTCATATCAACAGCCAAGGTGATTTCTGTGAGGCTGCATTTGCCAAAATACACAGCCATGGATACAGGGGCATCTCTGTAAGATTGCGGGAAAAGGAAGAGTTTACACACAAAAATAATGTGTTTCCCCCTGCCCCATAAACACCAAGGTATGTATCTCATTTTGAAAAGACAACAAACTACAACTCTTTGAAAGCATTTTGCTTAAAGCACAGATCCCAACACCTTTTCCTGCTCTGGCAAGGAGCTATGGTTGTGTGGGCATGGGCTGGTGTTCTCCAAGCTGCTCTCGGCCCTGGCACCCTACTCAGGGTTAATGGCACTGTGTCCTGTGATTCTGGATAATCCAACTGCAAGTGGCACTGCCCTGGTGTCCCCCACTGCTGTATCTTCCCCTGGTCCTCTTGGCACCACTGAACTCCCCCCAGGACTGCACAGCACGTCATTTATGGACTGGGCTCTTCCAAATGTCAGTGCTGAGGACGTCCCTGGCAGGGAGCATGGCCTGTGGAATAAAGTGATAGAAACATGGAGTGTACCAGGGACTCGGGCTCTCCTCCCGCTTTAGAAGGTTTATAAGAACTTGAGATCAATTCTCTAATCCAGTGATTTCTTTAGGAACTTGTCTATCATGCGAACAGGCCATCTTGGGAAGCTTTTAAACCCGGAGAAAATAACACTAGTCTCCACAGTTCGATGATACATCGAAAACCCAAGAGAAAATAAGCAATTTCCATTTTAATATGGAGTGGGTCCTGTCCCTGTTAACTTCAATTGTAGAATTACATAGAACAGATTGGATACTAGCATTTAATAAAATCCACTTCAAGATTATAGAGCATTTTAAATATAAAAAATAAGTCTTTTAATTAAAAAGAGTATGTGAGTAGCCCTGGATACATCTACAAAACAATCCCAAAGTATAAAAGCAAAGGCAACATCTGGATATGATTCCCTGAGCCACAGGGCTCCCAAACCTCACAGGGGGGTTGATACAGAACTTTTTTTAACTTTTAAATAATGCAACTGATTTCCCTCTCCAGCAAGACACGTTTGAAAGGCAGCTATAGTGAGTCATAACGACTTAGGGGCCTTCTAGAAGTCACGCAGGCTCTGTAGGCTCTTGTGCAGAGGACGCAGGGATTACCTGAACGAGAGGGCAAACAATCCCCCAGCAGAGAGCGCCAGGCTGCTGTTTGAACAGGTGGGCGCCCAAACCCATCTGCAAGGGATTTACATTTGCTGTCACACAGAGGATTCAGAGCCAAAATTGGAATCTTCCCTTTTCCAGTTTGCATCTTCTAACGGTTCTCAGTGTGGTTAAAATGCCCCTGCAAAGATAAAAGAGCACATTGTGCAAATTAAGCGACCTTGGCCAGATCCACACACTTTGGCTCTATGTTCACTGACACAATGCACTAACCCTGGTAAACAATGCCTTAACTTCTGTGGTGACTATATATTTATAGATGTATTAATAGATATACATCGCAATTAAGATATTTAGAGCACTTCCAATAATGACTGGCACATGCAATGTTCTCAATAAATATCACACCCCAGTTCTCCTACAGAGTGAAAATGAAAAATCATTTATCTAATCATAAAATAAATTTTAAAAAATGATGTTGCCTTAAATGATGGATCAGGATTCAAGACCAGAGAAGCAGAGCATGCTCCTTACCAGGGACATCTGGAAGGGGCCCAAATGCACAGCCACCCTGTCAGGCCCCGCTCTCCCCCTCTGCAGCAGGCCTCCCACCTCTGTACCTTCTCCCACAGGAATAACTGGGAAACCAGATGGCTGGGATGAGCTGGCCAGAGGCTGACCGGCTGCACAGGGAGAGGACTCGCCAGCAGCCAGCAATCTCTGTTACACTTGGCTGATACGTCAGCACATAGCAGTGTGGCTCCTGGCCCATAGGCAGAGGCAGGCTGGGCATCCCGCCTGCAAGGACTGCCCCAGAATGGTAATGAGCTCCCTGGGCTGGCTGAGGCCCAGGAGGCTGGGACAGGTCAGGTGGTGAGGGGCAAATCAGGCCAGTCCACAATGGCACCCATTTCCCAAAAGGCAGGTGTTGCCCTGAGCCCCAGGGGCCCGACAGGAGACTCAGGCCTTGCCTGGGAGACTCACAGGTGGCAGCATACCACTGCACACTGAGGGCTCATTTGGGCAACCAGAACAAAGAGCCAGGGAAGGACGCTCAGGAGTCCACCTGACTGGGGTGAGGAGGGCTTCACACAGGAGAGGTGTCTCGGATGGGCCATGACAGAGCAAGAGGATCTTACACGGCCAGAGGGCCTCCCAGGCAGCAAGAACAGCATGAGGTCAGAACATTCCAGAACTGGAGAAGCCCTTACAGTGACAAGGGCCAGCAGTGCTAGCACATGATGGGGACAGGACCCGTCATGATGTGCTGAGGCCGTGGCGCACGCATCCCGAGGAGCACGGGTGCTGCACCAATGCCAGGCCAACTCCCACGCCACTCTCACGTCACCAAGGACCTTCGGAGACAAGCTTCTTCCCTGCAGTTCTCCAGTCATTCACAGACCTGTGGCATCGCCCTGAGTGGGCAGAGAACACAACACTTCCTGGACTTCTCCACCAGAGGCTCCTCAGCCACAAGGCCCTCAGGGCTCTGAGGATGGGGAGAGGAGGCTGGGAAGTCACACGCAGTGCACAAGAGGGGAGTGGCAGGAGCCCAGTGCTTTCCTACAGAAGAGCGGGGTCAGGGCCGGGGACGAGGGATGATGCTTTTCACTTAATTTCATCCTCATCACTACCAGGGCTCAAAAAACCATTTTAAAAGGTATTCATTGAGACCTGTCACTCTGGCCCCCGCCCCTGCCTCTTCCTGTCCAAGGAGGAGGACATTTGGAAGACACGCTGGAGGCAGAACGGATGAGACTTGGGGACCAAGACAGCCGCATYCACGTGAGGCCTGATACCTACAGAACCTTTAGCAATCGTTCGTCTAATCTCCCCCGTCTCTGTGGCCTCTTCCCTCTGCTTCACACATGCAGTGTGCTCCTGTCTCTCCAGCCTGGGGCCCACAGGGACACCTCCAGGCAGCCTGATGTCCCTGATGGATGTGGCTGGTGCCATGTGGTCTGCAGTCCTGGGGTGCTGGGGCTCCCAGGCGACACACACCAGCCACCAGAGGCACATCTGATGATGCTTGTCTGAGCACAGGGTCCAGGGAACTGCAGGCTCACTCTGCCTGGAGTGGACACTCACACCAGAGCACAGCACCTTGCCCTGGCTGGCTGGCCTTCCGCAGGGATCTGACAGCAGCAACAGGAAACATCGCTTTTGGTAAAATGCAATTCCAATGTTTTACCACCGAGCAGGAGAGAAAGGCGCTTTGGGAAGGAGTTTTCATCTGCTTCTGATGTGGGGATGAAAGGGCTCAGGTCTGGCTGCTAGCAGCCATGTTCCCTGCACAGCCCACCCTCTCTGCTTCCTCAGGGCAAACTTGTGCAGCCTCAAGGTCTCCTTCCTGCTCTGTGGCAATCTCACTGGGTGCTCTCCACAATTAACACCCCTTTCAAAGTTCCCACTTTGTGTTCTAGAGACTTGCCTTCGTGGGCTCCCCATCCCCAAGGGGCCTGCAGAGCAAGCAGGGCCAAGAGGAGCTCACCTTACCCCAGATGGCACTGTCCCATGAGGCACCCATCCCGAGACCCCATCCATGGCAAGTTCAGTCACACTGTGACCTGTGCACACTGGGAAGAGAGGCTTTGCCACATACCATTTTGCCTGTTTGCTAAGGCCATTTTTCATTAATACGCAGAATACTGGCTTTGGGGTTTCCACCTATCCCTGAATAACTATCAATGTGATAAAACAGCAGCATTTATTTGTGAGTTAAAACTGTCCATGATTCCTGCCATTGCCTGAGGAATCATTTCTTTCTTTAATAGCAGATTCGTCTTTACTGCCACAAAACAGGTCTTTCCTCAAAGGCTTGGACGACTTCAAAGGCTACAAAGAAATCTTGGACTTCTAAGATAACCATCCTTATTTTGCTGGCATGAGCCTYTGTATAATGAAATATCTTTATCATACCCCTATCTGTCCATGCTAAGTCAGCATGCATTATGCACCTGTCCCATCTTCCTCCCTTCCTTCTTGGAGGGAGTCGCTGCTCTAAGACAGCACGCATGCATCCTTCTGTATAAGGAAGTAGATGTATGTGAGAGCAGAATCACTGCAAAGGGATTAGCCACAAGAGACCATGTAGGCCTAGATCACAGGGAGAAAAGGAGCAAGCAGTCACCAGATCTGGAAGGAGAATGTGTTATGGATTGCTGGCCCCTTGACAGAAACAGTGACATTGGCYGTGGCACACATCAAGTACCCTGCCCTCCCTCTCCAGTCTGCTGCTGCCTTCCCCTAGAGTCCCCAGTGGCTGAACTCACAGACAAGTCAGAGAGCCCAGCTATCCCACTGATATGGACCAAACAGCCTGGCTCTGAGTAGAAGGCAGAGAACAATGGAAAATGGATCTGGAGAGGAAAACAAAATAGAAATCTCAGTCGTTGAACAGACAGGACAGATTTTAAATTGGCTACTCTAAGTATGTTCAAAGGACTAAAGGAAACCACAATTAAGAATTAAAGGAAAGCAGAACAACAATGTCTCACAAAATAGAGAAGAAGTATCAATAAAGAGACAGAAGTCTCTCTCTCTCTCTCTCTCTCTCTCTCTCTCTCTCACACACACACACACACACACACACACACACACACGGACACACCAGAAATTCTAGAGTTGAGATATATAATAACTGGGATAAAAAACTTACCAAAGAGAACTTAAGCAGGCAGAAGAAAGAGCCAGTGAACTTGAAGTCAAATAAAATTATCTAGTTTGAGAAACAAAGAAAAAAGAGGGGGCTGGGGTTGTGGCTCAGTGGTAGAGCGCTTGCCTGGCATGTGTGAGGCCCTCTGGGTTCACTCCTCAGCACCACATAAAAATAAATAAGATTAAGGTATTGGGTCTACCTTATTTTATTTAAAAATAAGTTTTATTAAAAATAAATAAACTTTATTAAAACACTAAAAAAATTAAAAAAGAAAAAAAAGTGAAAAAAAAATGAAGAGAGCCTCAGAGTGATGGAGTGCCGTAAAGTGTGCCAACATGTACACAAACAGGGGCCTCGGAGGGAAGAGAGGGGACGGTGCAAAATGATATTTGAATAATGGCTCCAAATTTACCAACTTCATTGAAATGTTTATTTATATATTCATATCAATGAATTGTAACTAACTTGGGCTGAGATTATGGCTCAGCAGTAGAGCGCTCGCCTAGCACAGGCGGGACCTGGGTTCGATCCTCAGCACCACATGAAAATAAAGGCATTGTGTCCATCTACACTTTAAAAATAAATATTAAAAAATAAAATAAAAATAAATAAAATAAAAACTGATGTGTGTTTTAAAAAATGAATTGTAACTAGAATAAACCAAAAGGCATTCATAATTAGACATATCATAATAAAATTATCAAAAATCAAAGAATCTTGAAAGCAGAAAGGGAGAAACAACATATCACATACAAGTGATCCTCAATAACATTAACAGCCAATTTCTCACCAGAAATCATGGAAGCCAGAGGCAATAAGATGACATAGTTCTGAAGCACTGAAAACCTGTCAGCCAAGAATTCTATACCCAACAAAACTATCCTTTAAAAATGAAACAGAATTAAGACATTCTTAGGCAAACAAAACCAGAAAACATACCACTAGTAAAATTGTAGAAATACTTAAGGGAGTCCATAAATGGACATTAGGTAGTAACTCATGTCCACTTGAAGAAATAATATGAATGAGATTTTTCTACTTGATAATCACCAGAGAATACGTTTTTGTATGTGCATCTTCTATTCAACAACCCTGCTGAATATATTAGTTCTAATAATTCATCTGTACATTTTCTTGGATATTTTATGTAGATAATCATATCATCTGGAAATAACAATTTAGATTTTTCCCCCTTATTTCTTTTTTCTTGTCTTATTGTGTTAGCTAGGAACCTTGGTATATAGAGCAGAAGTAATGACAACAAGCATCTTCTCTTTTTCTCTCCCAACAATGGCAATATTGCAATAAGTACCTTGTTCCTCAACCTTTACCAGGATAAACTCTTCYACTTATGGTTTGCTAAGCTGTTGTGTTGTTGTGTTGTAGCTGCCATTCTGACTGGAGTGAGATGAAATCTTCGAGTAGTTTTTATTTGCATTTCTCTAATTGCTAGAGATGTTGAACTTTTTTTTTTTTTAATATTTGTTGATTGATTGTATATCTTCTTCTGAGAAGTATCTGCTCAGTTCCTTGACCCATTTGTTGATTGGGTTATTTGGGTTTTTTTTTTTTTTTTGGTGTTAAGATTTTGAGTTCTTTATATATCCTAGAGATTAGTGCTCTATCTGATGTGCATATGGTAAAAATTTGTTGCCAAATTGTAGGCTCTGTATTTAATTCATGGATTGTTTCTTTTGCTAAGAAGCTTTTTAGCTTGAATCCATTCCATTTATTGATTCTTGATATTAATTCTTGCACTATAGGAGTCTTATTAAGGAAGTTGGAGTCTAATCCCACATGATGGAGGTTAGGGCCTACTTTTTCTTCTAATAGATACAGTATCTCTGGTTTAATTCCTAGGTCCTTGATCCACTTTGAGTTGAGTTTTGTGCATGGTGAGAGATAGGGGTTTAATTTAATCTTGTTGCATATGGATTTCCAGTTTTCCCAGCATCACTTGTTAAAGAGGCTATCTTTTATCCAGTGTACGTTTTTAGCATCTTTGTCTAATATAAGATAACTGTGATTATGTGGGTTAGTCTCTGTGTCCTCTGTCCTGTACCATTGGTCTATGCATCTATTTTGGTGCCAACACCATGCTGTTTTTGTTACTATGGCTCTGTAGTATAGTTTAAGGTCTGGTATAGTGATGCCTCCTGCTTCACTCTTCTTGCTAAGGATTGCTTTAGCTATTCTGGGTGTCTTATTTTTCTAGATGAATTTTATGACTGCTTTTTCTATTTCTATGAGGAATGTCATTAGGATTTTGATTGAAATTGCATTAAATCTGTATAGTTTCTTTTGGTAGTATGGTCATTTTGAAAATATTAATTCTGCCTATCCAAGAACAAGGTAGATCTTTCCATTTTCTAAGGTCTTCTTTAATTTCTTTCTTTAGCGTTCTGTAGTTTTCGTTGTAGAGATCTTTCACCAAGTTGTTTCCCAAGTATTTTATTTTATTTGTGGCTATTGTAAATGGGGTAGTTTTCCTCACTTCCCTCTCGGAGGATTTGTCATTGATATACAGAAATGCCTTTGATTTATGGGTGTTGATTTTATATCCTGCTACTCTGCTGAATTTACTTACTAGTTCTAGAATTTTTCTTGTGAAATTTTTGAGTCTTCTAGGTATAGAATCACATCATCAGTAAATAGTGCTAATTGAATTCTTCTTTACCTCTCTATATCCCTTTAATTTCTTTCCTCTGTCTAATTGCTCTGGCCAGTGTTTCAAGAACTATGTTAAATAGAAGTGGTAAAAGAAGGCATCCTTTGTTCCAGTTTTTAGAGGGAATGCTTTCAATTTCTCTCCATTTAGAATGATGTTGGTCTGGGGCTTAGCATAGATAGCTTTTATGAAGTTGAGGTATGTTCCTATAATCCCTGGTTTTTCTAGTGTTTTGAATATGAAGGAGTGCTATAATAATACAGCTAATTTTTAAGTAGTTTTAGGATACCCAAAGTCCAGAGAAAATATTTAATGCCAGATCCTGTCAGAAGCAAGATCTAAAGATTTATCGGTGGTCTCTTCATACTTGCATAGCTTGGCCTCATTTTTGACAGAGTGACACAGCCGAACTCCTCCGTGGCCAGCTTTCTCTCTTAGTTTAAACAAATCAGCCTGGGTCTTCACCAAAGGCCTCTCATTTGCCTGGGAAGGAAGTCTGCTAAAATTCATGATGTGGCTGCTACTACTCTSAGTGATATGAGGTGGGCTGCAGGATTGCCAGTATGGACAAGTGACGCTGGCATGCTGGCTTGTGCAACCAGCAGCCAAGAGAGCCCAGCCCTGGCTGTCCTGTGGACCATGGGCTTGCCAGGCCACCACTTAGCCCCAAGGACCACATCCTTCTTATCTAACTGGCGGGTTAGACTGATGAACTCGTGGCACATGGCACAATTTGGTTCTTGTGCAACGATCAAGTGAAAGTCCTGCTGATCCCTCCATGACTGTTTTCTGCTCTAGGGACATACGAATAAAGGACTGCCAAGAATGAGTTATCACTGAAATAGACCCAAAGAGCAAACCACTGTGCACTGATCCTCCTCATCTATGTCAGAATGCTACAGCTCATCCCTGGCCTGATCCCAGACCTGATGCTCAGCCTGCTGCAGGAGGCATAGGCAGCGTTTCTGAGTAGCACGTGAGGAAGGGCAGCATCCAGAGGCTGGAGAGTTCCTGTTTGAGGGTGCTGTGCTGCAGTCTGGCTGGGCACAAAATAACCCAGCCGCCACACAGCATTGTAGGTTCAAAACAGGAACTCCTTTATTCTCCGCACTCCCTGGAAGCCACACACGCGGCCTTCCCCCAGGCCACACCACACACCAACCAGAAATCCTTCCTTAGGAAAATCCCTCCTCCGGCACTTCCCCAACCAATGGGAGCTCTCCGGGAATCCCCTGAGAACTCCAAAGTGGCAGGCTGAGGCGGACAGCAGGGGTCTAATATGCAACTGAATACACAGCTTAACATAACCATTATCATCTCAGTGGCTTGCTGGAGTCACCTCTCAATCACTCTGTTCTGGCAAAAATGCCATCTGACTCAGCTATGGCTCTCAGCAGTGGTGAYTGTAGATGGTATAGATGTAGGAAGCCATCACCAGTAATTTACAGATATTTAAATGAAATAAACCCAAATATCTGAAGGTCACACAGTTGGAGGTACAAAGAAAGAAAGTGGCCATTCAGAATTAGAATGATCATCCTTTGGCACCTCCTGCTGACCCTACGGCAGAAAACTGAACCAATAATGGATTTGTCCAAACACCTCCCTTCCTTTCCCTCTAGGAGTCCTTCTATAGTGCCCTCCTTTCTGCACACAGGCACTCCACAACACACCACACACACGCATGTGCATGCCTCACCCCCCCACAAGCAGGTACACACACACACACACATACACACACACACACATACACACACACACACATACACACACACACACACAGTTGTCAGCAATGGATTTCAGTGTCAGATACTGAAAGTTAAAAGTACAGAGCCCTTAGTATTTGCACTTAAATGAGAAGGAAAAAGGAAAAAGCTCGCTAACATTCATAAATAGGCTGGGCAGAGGCAGGGAGGTCCACGATGCCTGGAAGCATCAGGTTTCGAGGTGCTGGCTTTTATATGATAATTCACGCCAGTATTATACCCCTAACCCAGATACAAGACAGTGAAGGAACCCAGGCAGAGCACAGGGTGGCCTGCTACAGCCTTGTCTACACGGCACGTAACTGGGCTAGGCTCCACCTGCACCTGCCCAATGCTGAGCTGCTGCACCAAGGACCTGAGCCCCGAGGAGGGATAACAAGGCCCACAGGCCCACAGATCTTCTTTACCCCAGGAGAATCAGCCAGTTCATTAGTGACTCGCCCAGGCAGGTACGGTTCGGTCTGAAAAGAGGAGCCCACCTAGATATTTCCAACAGAGGGAACTTAGCCCAGAACTAGATCCCACAAGTGCTGGAGCTGATGAGAAGCCACACGGGGAGGTGAGCCAACCAATGCTTCGCCACAAGAGGAGGGCCCCACGTCCTGGTGGAGGGGAGGAGAAGGGAGGAGGCAGTGGGACCACAGGGATCTGTGACCAGGCACCAGTAAGAGGGGACCACTGCAGTCCTCCCTACAGGAGCCAGGGTCCTGGAGGGAGGGCTGAGGGGACTAGGGAGAGGGAGAGGGAGAACTGCCAGGCTTCCCTGTCCTTCCCCAGGCACCAGTGTCCTGCCAGGGCCTCACAGGTCTGAATCAACCCAGAATTCAGAGGCTAGATGGTCCCCACAATACAGAATTGGGCAGGGAAAAGGGGGAAGGACAATAAAATGGAGAACACAGCTGACAAAAAATAGCAGCTGACCAATAAAGTCTGAGGGTGCACCCCAAAGGAGGCCAGCCCTGAGGCGCTGTGGAGCACTAGAGACCAGAGGCCCCTGGAAACACGGTGCTGAGCGGGCATTACCTCCCCTCTCCACTTGTCCAATCTCTTTCTCCTGGCCTTCTTCCTCGTAAGGCCCCCTCTCCTCCTCGTGGCTCGGCTGATTATTCTGGAAGGCTTTGGCAGTTTGGTTGGGTTTGTTTAACTGGTCTGAATTTGCAGAGAACTGCCTAATTTCCAGAGCCAGGCTGATCCCAGAGAGGAGGCCTGGTGCCTGGCAACCACCTGCTCTGGAGCCATTTGTGAAGGAAGGTCAGGGCCTCACTTACACCCTCTGCATGTGCAGCCAAGGCAGCGTAGCCTGTGAGAGCAGGCAGCCAGGCACCGGGCAGGGCACCGCCATCACTCTGATCATCAGAACATGAGCAGGGTGCTGCCGGGCTGAGAGGAGATGCTCCTAAATATTGCATACCCTGAGTTGAACCTTGATAGCAATTAGTGCAAGACAGCAAAACCTGAAATAAAACAGTGTAACAGTGAGCTAGACAGGAAACAGAAGAGAGGGAAATGCAAAGTTAGAAAATGAGTTTGTAAGGTCTCCAGAAAAAGTCCTTTCATGTGAGAAATAGCTCAATGATAAGAAATAAAGAACAGAAGGGCCACAGGAGCTCAGGCACCAAGGCAAGACAGTGACATGGAGAATCTGAGCAGAACCGATCAGATCACTGATGTCCCAGTAAGGTCAGGAAGACGCCAGAGGATCAGGGTGCCAAGGAGCTTGCAGGGAAGCCTCCCCAAATAAGCTGAGACTCACAGGCCAGTGTCCTGATAGGAATTCCTCCGACTACCACTGGCGAAACCTTGGCTGCTCTTTGATCCACAGTAGCTGCTCTGAGTCACCTTGGGAACTAAGGCCAGGAGGGGGACAAGCCCACAGCAAGTGGGCAAGTGACTATGCTGGGAACCTGAGGTTGATGAAGTCTTCTGAAATTTGGAATTGCTGCCCATTGGTGACTTATTGTTAAGTACTGCTCCCTGGGATCTTGCATTTCTAAAAATACTATTTGCTTTTTATTTAACACTGAACCTTTGATGTTTTAGAATATAAAAATAGTGTCTTATTATTTTAAAAGCTTAGGAGAGAAACTAGCCGTATTATTAGAAAAAGAAGATATATGCAGCTATAGTCTGTTCAAATATCAAGAGGTGTGACTTTTCAAACCCACATTTCAATCTTTATTTACATAAGACTTTTAGAAATAGTGGGTGTAAATATTAAAACGCCTGAGCCTGGGTGAAATTTTATTGAGAATAACTACAAATAAAAGGAAACTGATTTTTTAAAGTCAGTTTCTGAAATTTAGATGAAAAGAATATTCAGCATTAACCAAAAATGATATTTACATATCAATGTAGTTTTTCTGCTCATAGACTCATTTCCTATGAAACTAACAGAGAGGCAAGCTCGGGGAATTACAAAGGAAGGAAAAACCCTAATCAAACAGGTACTGTTGTTCTAACAGGATATTAGCCAAAATGATCCAATCAGTTGCTTGAGCTAAATTTTTTTCTTTGAGCCATTCATGCCAGAATACAACCTCTGAGAGCATTAGGAATCCACACTGCATTCCAAGTGTTCGTCTCTAACAGATGGGGGGATTTGAAAGATACAGTCCATGGAAATGGGGCAACAAGGAAGGGTACCAGTCAGTCACTAGCACACAGGTAATTGAGCTATAATGGGGTCCTGCTTTGTATTTATTTGTATTCCAGGGTATACTTGGCAGCCATATGAATCAACCTAAATGCTAAATTCAAATTGCTAGATGTTCAATTTCACTACAATTCAGAATTATGCAACATAACATGAAAATTTTCCCAAAAAGCACAAAAAGAAACAAAAGTACCTTTTGAAGGAAGGAGTTCTACATCAAACTTTGTTTTGGTATTTGTCTAATGACTTAGCATAATCAGAGGTTCACATGAATGACAGCTGTCATGGTGTTAGGTCTTCATTTAAACAGCATCAATGTGTCTGCCTCTGTAAAACAGCCTGCAACATGTCAACTAAATCTCCATAACTCACAGTCTTACTCTCTCACATACCAAAAACAGAGTAATGCACTTCTCTGAAGATCTTTAGGGGGCAATCTCAGAAATACACACACACACACACACACACACACACACACACACAAATTCCTGATTTCTGTGTGGAATTTAAATATGATTCTATTTTATTACAATATTAAGATTTCAGACTTAAAATAAAAAAACCCAAGAATTATAGAGGTTATCAAAAACATATTAACTTGTTCTTAGAGTAAGTTCAAAATTAATAACAAAGGTATTATTATGCTAATATATACTTTATGATATTCTGCCCCATAGAGGAGACTGAGAATTGAATCTGGCAATTTTTGACCTCCCTTTACTTTAAATTTATGGTGTGAACACTGTGTTTCCTTCTGAAATATATGATTTATGTAAARTTTATAGAAACACCCAAGGAAAACTTAAAAAGAAAAGAAAAAGAATAACGTTGATTCCTAATTTGGGCAGTAAATAATATGGTCAGGCATGTTCTTGAAGATGTCATTATAGGACTCTCTATTTCAGCCAATTAGAGTAGCTCTTCCCTTCCTACAAACTGCTATTTAGGAAGAATTTTAAATGAATTTGTAATTTCTACCTCTGAGCTGAAGCTGGAAACAAATTACTTTGTTCCCCAATAGAATGCTAAGAAAAGCTCAAATCCACCATTACCTTTATTTACCTCCCTCATTCCTCAGACCTGCAGCTGCAGGTTTTACTTTGTTTTATGGATCTAATATTTGAGTAGTCTATCTCTTATGTCACAGGAGGTTAGTGAACTTACAGATTCTCCCGCGATACATCTTGGGCAAGGCTGGGCTGAGCTTCTTCCACCATTTTGAGAAATCTATTTAACAAATCCACAAATGGATCAGAACAATGATTATTTAAAATTTTTATTAAAATATTTAAATGGGTTCAAAACTGGTTGGGTCATGGGAACATACCACTGAGCGTGGTCTGCCCTGGGCACCTTCTGGCCACAGTGCAGAGGGGCAACCTCTTGATTGAGGCCCCTGGTCCTCTGTGCTCCAGGACGCCAGGGTGCATGTGCTCTCCTGGTGGCAGCCAGGCTCCTGCCCGCTGGCTTCTGACCTCCGGCATGCCCGTTTCTGAAACAAACAGAACTTCACTTGAGATGGCCTCATAAAGCACACAGCACTAATTGAATTTGCTTTCAGAAAACTTCAGCTCCAAATAAAGACCCCTGTGGAGCCGGAAAACTTTATAGGACATTTGAGGAGATGACTTTAAACTTTATCTGCTCAGGAATAACAACTATCAATTACATTTAACCTTATTATTTCTAGCATTGTCTGATGGTTACTTAGCCTCATAGATTTAACATAGTCATTTTAAACAATTTTGGCCGAAACTCTTGTAATAAACTATTGTGACTGGTTATATTGAAAATGTGCAAAACCTATAAATTTTGTTCAAGAAACTAGTTATATGCTTCAACACATTTTGTTCAGTATCAAGTTATGTACTTCTTAACACAATATGAATAATTCACATGTGAATAACTCTCTGTCTTACTGGCACTGAAGAACAAATTAATTTTATTGATTTCAAAATCTGCACACACAGTCCATAATGGGTAACCTCGGGGAAAGATGGTCTTTGGTTTTTGCTTCCACATAAACTGAAGAAAGTAATTACAAGAGTAATCTTCCAATGCTAATGAAAACAGTATTCCACCCAGTGTCCCAGACTTGATGTATTTCCAGGGTCACGAGGTTTGATGGACATAGCATTCCAGAGGGAGGAGGACCTCTGTAAACAGTTACCCAGTCCCCTCATGGTCCAGTGCCAATGTCCCCCTAGGGAGCAGCGGTGGTCACCCTGGAGGTCTGCTGCTGGACACTTCTCAGGGGCAGTCTGCTGGTGTCACCCCAATATCTAATTGCTCGCAAACCACCGTCTTTACCAAATTTGGTTTTCACCAATGTTGTTTAATATCTATGGCATTATTTATTTTACACAAATATATTCCATAACATGAATAATTACTTGTTGCACTTAATGGATTTATTCGACAGAGAAACCATATATCATGGGTTTAAAGTGCTAGTTTTACCATTTCCTAATATGCTCTTAAGGAAATACTTAAGGATTGAAATGAAAAATGCTGAACTCTGAACCACCTACATAAATCCTTGGCATAGGCAGACCTGCCTCCCAGGAGGTGGGGAGGACATGGGCAGCTGCCCAGCTTGCTGACCTCCCCACAGTCCTTACAAAAAGGACATGAAAAAGACAGGGGGGAAGTGAGTTCGGCACCCAGGCCCACCCTTGGCCAGGCTGGATGATAAGGAGTGCTGAAACCTGACAGGACTCTGGCGCCAAGAGAAACACCACCAAACCCCAGTGTGCGTGTTCCCTCGCGCCGTTGGCCCACACCCTGCTCAGGCCTTGGGGTCAGCTGGCAGAGGCAGAAGCACGGACCTAAGCTGACCCCAGAAGGTCTACCCACAAGGATGAAAAATAGAGAGGCTACTCCAGACAGGCTTAAATACAAATGATCACTAGAAAATTCACCCAAAATTTTTAAATTTCAATGAAAGAGTAAAGAATATGCATCTCATAGAGAAAGAAACAGAAAATGTAGCAAAGTATATATGATTATAAAATATAGGGTTGCAAGTACACATGCCAGTCATATCAATAAATATGAACAGCCTTGGGGCTGGAATGTAGTCAGTACTCGGGTGCTTGCCTGGCATGCCTAAGCCCTTGTTCAATCCTCAGTACTGAATCAAAAAATTTTTAAAAATATGTGTGTGTGCGTCTACATATGTGTGTACATAGGTGTGTGTATCCACACATATCGATACTGAAGTGCGTGTGTGCGTGTGTGTGTGTGTGTGTGTGTGTGTGTGTGTGTGAAATAGGCTTGACTTACCTGTGACATGAAAGGGCTTCTCCTTGGGCTCACAGAGTGGACCCAACACATGCTGCCTCCAAGGAGCACACTCAGATACAGTGGTGCTGACAGGCTGAAGATGAAAAGATGGACAAGGTCTCCAGCAAGGCACGCAGGAGGAGCAGGAGCGGACCCTTTTTAATACTAGAAGCCACTATTCATGTGACAGTCTGACACTCATGGATGTCTACAAACCGAGTAACCAACCACCACCTTAGGAAGCAAAGAGTACAGGAGATGAAGCAGACAGAAACACACCCAAGGAGGCTCAGCACGAGAGGCCATCCTCACCAGACCATCAGTGTGCAAAGAGCAGTCAGGACTGGGAGAGTGGCACACAGGCAGAGCATGCAGGCAGCCCTGGGTCCCATCCCTGGTGCCATAGAGAGACAAGAAAACAAACTAACCCAAACCACCATCACCAACAACAACTAAGTGGGAGACACAATGTTCCAAGGTCACACTCCACCAAGGCTGATGGTGAGGATCTAGGTGGAATGCCACATCCTGATGAGGGCACACGTTCTCCTGAGGGTCAGGCAGCATCACAGCAGCCCTCAGCAATAGAGGACAGCACAGCCTTCTGAGGGCAGCAGCACTGCACACAGCACCTCTGCTCACAGTAGGGACAGCACAGCCTTCTGAGGGCAGCAGTACTGCACACAGCACCTCTGGTCACAGTAGGGACAGCACAGCCTTCTGAGGGCAGCAGCACTGCACACAGCACCTCTGCTCACAGTAGGGACAGCA